TGGACGGTGTTGTTAGTTGTGCAGATTTTAAAGCTCTCTGGATAAAGTAAAATAAAAACAATTGATTTGGTTGGTTGTTTCCTGTATGACAGCAACATATGTCTTTATGAAAGTATGAGAATAAGGATTTGTATGCTTGGAGAAATATAAACACATTGATTGACTGACTGATTACTGACATCATTAAAAGCTGAGAAAATATTGTGAATGTTTTCACCCATGCCCCGAGTGTGTGGCGTGTTTGAACGCTGGGAAATAAAGCCTTTAATGAGGCATGTAAGACACAAATGGGCCAGTTAACATAGCCGGTGAAACCAAATAATCTCAGGTTTTCCAAAGCTCCTGTTGCTCCACAGTAGCTCCACAGTAAATTAACCTTTAACGAACACCTGGAGCTCTTAGAGAAAATAGTTTCAAAACACACATTATATAAAACTAATACATACATTTTATTATTAGTTTTATAAGCTAATGCCGATATGTCACAACTTGGCAACTCTTGTTTCATTCATTTAGATACTGTCTTTCACCTTCTCTGTGACTAACACCAGTCTGCATGTGAACAAGGTCTCTGGGGTTTTACTACAATAATACCCTCTGTTTTTTTGTATGTGTGAGAAAGAAGAAAAGCAAGTTAATCCTCTTGCTTGAAGGGAATGCTGCATAATGGTGACTGTTTCCCAAATATACAGATGGTCGTGCCTTATAAACCTTCTGTTTTAATTACACAGCCAGCAGCAGCCTGGAGGCCCCCTCAACATACTGGCTCCATATTTTTTCACATCAACTGAGGCTGTCAGACAATATGAAAAACTCAGCCTCCATCCAGGACACAAATAAAATGTGTTCCTATGCGTTAGCTGGGAGACTGAGCGTTTGTTTCCATATGCAATATGAGTTCATCCCATTGTACCCCAACTCTGGCTCAAATATTCCAGCCGGGGTCAGGACACAATGCGGAGGGGTCACGGTGCGTGTGTATGTGTGTGTTTCATGAGTAGGAATGTGTGACGTCATTCAACCAAATCAGAGGGGCACTGGCACTGTAAATAGCCCCCCTCGACCACAAGAAAAACACACCCATACAGTAGTCACAGTAGTTTTATGAGTTTACTCCACTACATAGATTGTTTATGAGATGCGGGAAACTTTAAAAAGTTGTGTCAGAGTGCCACAGGGCTTTCTAAAATAATTACCCATCCCCCATCTGCTTTACTTTATTTTTCCTCCTCTCTTACCATAATTAAACCCAAAAGCAGCGGTAGAAGAAGTATCCAGATTCTTTTACTGAAGTAAAAATGCCGACATCACACTGCAAGAGCACTACATTGATCTAAGAGAGTTCTGCATTAAAAAGTGTTACTTAAAGGAATACTTCACCCACAAAATAACTATTTGTAAATCAATTAGTTATGCCATGGTACCTTGGATTAGAGAGGAAAACTTTGCTTTTCTCGCAGGGCTCCACAGAAAAACGTTTAAACATATTGATTAATTGATTGTCTGGGGACCACCATTAACATCAGCAATACTAAATAAAGAAATATCTATTTACCAACTCTCACAACTTGTTCAGTATAATCCATGTCTCATTTATCCAGTCTTATGCTCGATACTTTACAAACACATGCATTTTTACTAAAAAAAAATACCTTAGTATTAATAAAATGGACACCAAAGTGCCTTTTGTAGACTGGTTTTGAGCAGACCACAGAAAAGGTTCACTTTCAGTTCAGGTTTTAGCAAAAATGCATGTGTTAAGGATGTACTGAGCATATGGCTGAATAAATAAGACTTGGATTATACTGAACAAGTTGTGTGACAGTTTGTAAACAGATGTTTTGATATAGTTTTGCTGTTGTTCAAGTGGACCCCACTCAGTCAATAAATCAGGATGTTCTCCGTTTGTCCGTGGAGCCATCTGAGTAAAATGTTATCCTCTCTAATTCAAGGTGAATTCACAAATTCAAGCTAACACGGCATGACTTACCGATATTCAAATGGTCGGTTTGTGGGTGAAGTATTCCTTTAAAGTTCCAGTGTGTAGGATTTAAGGGGCATCTCTTGGCAGAAATTGTATTTAATATGCAAAGCTATGTTTTCGCTAGCTTATAATCATCTAAGAATGAGCTGTTTATGTCTACATAAGGAGCGGGTCTTCTTCCACAGAGTCCGACATGTTCTACAGTAGTCCAGAAGACACAAACCAAACACTGGCTCTAGATAGGGCCATTCATGTTTTCACGTTGCCCACCATAATTCTCCCACACGCTTGGCACACTGGAAAAGTTTCAGTTCTGCAACCTCACCACTAGATGCCACTAAATTCTACACACTGGACCTTTAAGTAAAAGTAGATATAAATTGGAATATTTTGATAAAAATACAAACTACTTGGACGATGACAAGTGAAAGTTCTCAATGCAGAAAAATGGCTTAATGGTAAGTGTTACACTATCATCTACAATATCACTGGAATGTAAGTTGGCTAATGATGCATAAAAGCTGATGGAGGAAATAAAGTAGCTAAGTAGTTGTCAAATACATGAAGTGGAGTAAAATGTAAAAAACAACAACAAAATCATCATTTTAACCTGTTTTTGCTGCTCAGTCAGTTTGACACCCTGGATAGCCTATATCCTTCAAATGCACAAACCTGCTATCTTTAAATATCCAATCAAGAGAGACTCTCACTGCAGCCTGTTCTGTTTTGTTCTGAAAATGTTGGTGTGCAACCCTGTTCTGAGGACAAAAATGAGGTGCAGACTTCCATTTCTGTCACCGGTGATGAGGAAATACAGTGAGTGCTGGACGGAGCAGTGAGTGACAACAACCCCGCCCACATTTAAGAGTACTGTTTGTGGTGGAAAAGCTAGGGTCTAGGTACCATGTCTGAAGGGTTACTTTTGGTTCCAAAGGTACCATACCGAAAGTGTTTGGTCAAAACGGGGCTGTATAGGTCTGTTTCTCTCTGGAATAGCTTTTTTGTTTCCAAAAATGTGATCATATTTCCTCAGGGAATGCAGTTTGTTAAGCAGGATTTATGCCTCTGCATCGAATCGATGCCGTAGATCTGCGTCCATGTAGAGCCTCCACCATACTCTATGCTGTAACCTGACATGCACCTCCCCAGAAATGTAACTACACCTCGCAGCAACGCAGACCTCATGTCTATTTTTGTAAAAGGAAATAATTTCCCTCACTGGAAAGAAAACTTTTATTTACCACTATTTCTCAGATGGGGGACAATAAATTGTGAAGAAAATAAAGCCCCCTGAAAATAGCATTTAAAGTCTTGTGTCCTGGCTTCATATTAGCAGAGGAAATCTCTACTTGTCGTCCATCTTAAATGCAGAGGCTTGTGCTAATAAGATTAGTGTGGTATATTTGTTTGGTAAACGTGTTTAGTATAAGACAGTTGTTTTGTCAGTGAACCTTGTGAATTGTAATGGAACCAAATTTTTATAACGTTACCTTTTTTAAATGTTGCTGTTAAACCTGGATTCATATGAGTAGAAGAAAAGGCTGCTATCTGCTAGGCTAATTTGTACAATGTAAAATGCCATAGGCTTGTGCTAAAAACATTAGCATGTTGTATTTGTGGAGAAAATGTGTCCAGCAAAAGACTGAAAGTGCTTTGTCTGTGAATGCTGCGAGTTTAAGTGAAGCCAGTTTGTGTACTTGTGTTTGAAATTGTTGCTATTAAGCCATGTTTAATGTGTGTTTTGAATCAGCTAAACTCTACAGCACTTCATTGAAACCCCGCTGCTGACTAGTGTTTTGGAGGTATAACTACAGAGTAACACAGACACACGCATGTGGTAGTATAAATGCTCAGAACGGCGTAGGCCAAGTGCATAGGCTACGGCGTAGGCTCAGGCCATGTTTCCATGAACACAATCCGCTGAAACGGAATTGTTTCTCATTTGCATTTTGAGAAAAGTTCCGCGTTCAGATGCCAACATTTTGATAACAATCGCCGTGCACACTGGTCTGCAAAAATGACCAAAAATGCTGTAGTATACATGCCAGGCCAGCAGTTGGTGGTGTGACATTGTAATGAAACAACAAGCGCCTGTGCACATGTGCTTCCTTCTAAAGAGTGATGATGTATTTAAACAAACAAAATGGCAACCACACAAACGTTTGTCTGGACAGGCGACGAGGTGGAGTTGCTACAGTAAGAATTACACTTTGATGGAGAAGCATTGATAAATTCAATAGGGTGAGCAGCACAAACAGAGCTTGGGAGTCCGCCATTGTTGTTGTGATGGTCTACTTGGTCGTGCATGCCTAGTGACTGGAAGTGTAATGTGCATGTGCGGAAAGTCTTACTGCATATTGCAAGTTTAAATGACAACAGGTGCTGTTTCCAAAATATTGCACTCTGGAACCCACTTTCAAAACATTGTGTTTTCAGGCACCTAAAGTTTACCGTTTTCGGTTGAAATCGTTGTCGTATAAACATGACCTCAATATACCTACATATAAATCCCGCTTTACAGTGTGGACTCCATGCTCACTCTTACAGCTTGATGGACTATCATAAGGGGGCGGGGCTTAGCAAAGAGTCAATTATATCAGGGTGGCCATGCCCCCCCACCCCCTGGGAGCGCCACTGATATTTAGCAGGATACTTAATGAAGGTACTTAGTTATAATCCAACACTGTCCACACTTATTATAGCTACTCCCAACTCGGCCCTTTAATTCTATGGAGCAAAATGATAATGCTGAAGTGTTTTGCTGAGTCAAAGAGAAGCGGCTGACTCAACCAGCTCTGGATATTTTTAACATTGTCACAGGATGTAAGGAAGCGAATGAATATCTGCCCCCAAGTTCCGCTATTTTAGGACAAGACAGCCAGTTCTGTGTAAGCTAACGTTCCTGTATGATTAATGATAGCAGCGCTGATCACAAGTCAACTTTAACTTGCTGCTCCATGGGAGCACTGCACCTTTAAAAACAAACTGTGCCCTGTTTTCAATCCCAGCTGTCGACCGGTGGCCACGTACGGCTCCCTGCTCCAACGGCTGTCCCACGGTCTGCTCGTCAACGGCAGACAACTTTTATCAGTCAACCGTCGCTACTTTAACGACATTTTAGCTATTTTAACTACTTTAAAGCACTTTTTTTTTGCTCACAGCGGTGCGGAGGATGAAGTTTTGAATGAAGGTTCCCCGCTGGGACTGTAACGCGGGAGGAGGAGGGGGCAGTTGGCGGGGTCGCCCAGGCTATCGGATCTGAGATCTGCTCACATTTATAACCAGACAGACGGCGGCTTGTTTCGGGGCAGAGCCGAGCTGAGCGGACGGAGCAGCTTCACGAGCAGGACGCGGAGTTTTTAACTTTTAATCCTTCACACCGGACGATAAACACAACGGGAAGGTTTGGATTAACAGCAAAGTTTCTGCTCGTGTCTGGACCCTCGTCTTCTGTCTACAGGCTGCTGGACTGTAAGCTAATAACTCACTGTGGAAATACCACTCTTCAACAGACTGGTGATTTAGTCAGGCTTAAGCTTTTAAATAGAACTACTTGTTACTTCACTTCATTAAAGTAGAGACACAAAGTATCGTCAAAATGGATAAATACGAGGATTTAGGACTCGAGGCGAGTAAGTTTATCGAGGACCTGAACATGTATGAAGCATCCAGAGATGGTTTATTTCGTATGAGGAGGGATGCAGGAAACAACCCCGACTTTGAAGAGACAAGGAGAGTTTTTGCCTCTAAAATGACTAAGATACACATGCAGAAACAGCAAGAGGAGATGGCAAAAAACAACCAGGTTATGAAAATGAATGGGGGCCACAATAGTACATATTACACCAAAGACAGACCGCCCATCAATAGTTTCAGACAGCCGTGTGAAGCGGCAGCGAAGCCCCCGATACTCTCTGGCCCTGTGCCAGGCACCACGGCTGGGAACCAGTACGCACAGTTTGACGGCCAGAAACACCACACGGGCATCCAGTCTGAACTTCCAGGCGGCAGGGCATATGGCTACGGAAACAATTACGATAATAAGGAGCGTTCAGAGCCACAGTCATCTCAGCACAACACCCCTGCTCCCCCCAGTCCAGGAAACGCGTCTCACAGCGCGCCCACACATGCTCGTCACCCTGTCAGCCAGCCGGCTGCCTGGGCCCCATCCAGAGAGAGCCAGCTTTCCCCATCTTTGTCTGGCTCTGTGGGCAGCACCACTTCTCAGCAGCAGCCTAAGCGTCAGTCTGCACCTTCCACCGCCAACAGTCACCCACCCCAGCAGAATCAGGCTGTCACCCCGTCTGTAAACCTGAGTCCTTCCTCATCTGCAGGGCCAGCCAGGGGTTGGGCTACAGAGCCCTCTGGCTCAGCCAAACCTGACCTCATCCCTGCCCTGCCTCTGAGTGCCTTCACAGCAGGAGCTGACTTCCACGTGCAGCAGCCCTCCACACACTCTGCAGCCCATTACGCACCATCTTCTCCAACTTCGAGACCATCTACCAGCCATAATGGTCCCGTGACAGCTTCCTCACCCCTGCCTGTACCCTTTGAAACACCTCTACCTAAAGCCCAGGTGCCATCTGCTGGCTTGATTCCTGGCAGTGTCTCCAAAAGTATCAGCCAGGGTCAAGGTCAGAGCCAAAAACCCATCACTGGACATGCTGTCAGTGCTGAAGCTGAAGCCCCCCGCTCCCCCAAGCCTGCCCAACTACCCTGCCATTCTCTGCTCACACAGCCCCATGAACAGGGGCCTTCAGCAGCTGAAATAAAATTGGAAGCCATCACCAGTCGGCTGGAAAGAGAGATGGATGCCCAACCAAAGGCTGACTACTTTGGTAAGACAGTTTAGACTATCCAGCACCAACAAGGGGCTACTGTCAGTTAGGCCACTGCTGTAAAACCCATTGGACGACAGAGTCGCCCACCCACACTTCAGAACATAAATCCACTTGTTTTTGATTTCATATTTATACATGCACACACTGTCACCCTTTGTCATCCGTCTGAGTTTCCCTCTCACACAGACACACATATTATTCTGTGTGTTTGTGTGTGTTAATCAGGAGTGCAACCCATTTGTCTAAAGTCTTTGTTTGGCTGCATTCTTGATGGTCTTTGCAGATAAAATAGCTGAACTTATTAGGCAGATGCTGTAAGAGGCCTCTTTCTTCTTTTCTTCTGTGGAATGCAGACAGAATAATTTTCTAATTTGTTTCGTGTCTTTTTTTAATGATTCATTGTCTGCCCTCTAGGCAGCTGAAACAAACCCTTTAGCAGTAAAAGGTGGGGCCACGGCCACAAAGAAAGAAAAGTGCCCTCTTATCTCCTCCCAGAGAGTTAGTGGTTTACTATAGAGGCAACACTGATGTCTAAGCACATTAGTTAAGGCTTGATCACTTCTGTAAACTCTGTGCTCCATTAAGTCTGTGATTGTTTTAATGTTCCTTGACCTTCCCGTGGAGAGTTTGTTCGACTGGCGGTGGCATTCACTGTTTTCCCAAATGATGTCATTACTACAGACCTGTGCTTGCACATTTCTCGTGACTTTGTGAGCATGCCATGCATACTTGTGCAAGTGATGAACACGTGCACACAGGGAAAATGAGAATGAATAATAAGACCTGTGACTGTTAGTTCGAGCATTTGGGGGCACGTTAGGACCAAGAAACCATGGCTGTTCATTTAGCAATCAATGCCATCAATACATTAGGTCACTTGCTGAGAAACAGAGGTAGGAAGGGTTGTTGAAGAATGTCCATCATCAGCAGAAAACTCTGGTTTCTGTTCCCCATATCACTGCCTGCAGCAGTTCAGCTGCTCCATCGGTACTGCAGGAATGCTGTCAGGAAATTAATGCAGCATTAGAAAAACACATGCTTTGCTGTGAGGTCAGCTGACAGACTGTTGTGACAGATGCAGATATAGTAAATAGGCAAGATGCACTGTTTGTTGCTGGGAGTGTGTTTATTGCAGGGAAAGTTGGTGCTCACGTGGCAACCAGGTGTTTGGAGCCAAGGCCATTCATGAAAACGGGACATCCCGCTATGGGAAAGCAAGACTGAGAGAAAGAGAGCATGACATGGGTGATATCGTGTTCAAAACCCACAGAGCACCCCCATTACACAGTCGCACACATGCACCCTTGCCTCCTCGTTGAAAGGAATTTCCTGCTGGAATGTCATGATTGTAATTCACAGCCTTCCTCAACCCCCTGGGGTGCTTGTATTGGTGTGTAAGGGAAGATGTTCTGGCGTACGTCACTGTCACGACAAGGCTCACAAATAGCACAAGGATGTGAATATTACGGATGTGTGGGAAAGCACAGAGTGCAATCAGCAGAAGTGTAGGATTTAAAATGATACAGTATATTCCTTCTTTCACACACACAAAGCCCACACACGGTTCTTGTATGGAGTTTTCCACTAGACCCTGGCTCATCCTCTGAGTCATGTCTTTATGCCAGAAAAAAACTTGTGTAGGCTAGTTATCTTAACAGAACTTAAGTTTCATCACAGAAGACCTTCATAGTTGTGAATCGTACACGCAGACTTTTTAAGCATCTTTAGGATATTGGTACGTAGATCCTACTTGTGTTTGATGATTGCTAGTTTAATGCTAAGGTTTCTTTGAGACAGACAGGACTGAATATTATGTGCTTTTAAAAGTCTGCCAATGCCATGGTGGTGTTTAACCAATCCAGTGAGCTGTGTCCACACACAGGGCTGGGATCCATCAGAGTTCCCGACTGTACACCCAGTGCTGATTGGCAAAACTGCAGCTGGAGGTTCTGGGAAAATGAGTGCAGTGCCAAAACGGCTGCACCAGGGGAACACTGAGGAATGTCTGAAGGAAGAGAGCAAGGAATTTTAGAAATGGGGACTTAAGATACAAAGGGGAGGGGAGTCCTAGACGAGTTTAGAGGTGCCTGCGGCGCAGTTGAATGGATGAGTAGACAAACGGAGAGATTTAGGGACAAGTACGTGGATGCTTCTTTGTCCTTGGCCACAAGAGCCTGAGAGGATGTGAGATTTATAGCCAAGTTCATCCGAGAGGGGAGAAGTGGTGGGACATCCCAGTGTTCTGCCTTCCCTCTTCCTCTGACTTACACACACACACACACACACACACACACACACACACACACACACACACACACACACACAAATTCAGTTGAGCGTTTAGTGTTGTGTTAAGATGGAGGATTAATTTATCCCATCTGGATGTTGAGTGGAAAGCTTCGTCTTAACTCTTCCCAGGGATTCTTGGCTTGTGTTGTGGCAGGATTTTGGAGGCTGTCGTGTGTGTGTGTGTGTGTGTGTGTGTGTGTGTGTGTGTGTGTGTGTATGTGTGTGCGTCTGTGTGTGCGTGTGTGTGTGTGTATACACATGTGTGAATGTGATATCCTCTCATGCACATCAATGTGTCTGTGTCTCTAAGAGTATAATGGCATGTGGTATGTGATTGAATTTAATATGCTGTGTCACTTTTCTAGGTGTGGTGTGTGTCCTGTGGTAAAAGTTAGAAAATGATGCCATAGATGACACAGTATCCAGCACATTTAAGTGAATGGGAGTTAAGGGTGGGAATCATCAGAGACCCTACGATACAACATTATTATGTGTGTGATTTTAAACATTTTATGATATGCTAAGTATTGCGACGACATACACTGTGATAAATTCATTACGTTTTTTTTAAATTGCAAAATATGTCCCGAAAGGAAAACATTGCGAACATCTGCTTTATTTTATAAGATAAAATTTCCAAGTCTGTTCATCTGACTTCATTTTTAATGCAGCAAAATGTATCTTTTGGACTGAAAAATCAATTGATTTCATTGTTGTAGTAGGCTACCTTAAGTTTAATTTGTATTTGTAATATTAATAATTTATTTAATTAAAAAACTGACTCTTAGTGTATGTGTATCAATACAATATTGTTACGCATTATGCAACATATCATGATACTGTGCTGTATTGATTCCCTGCCCCCACCCTTAATGACAGTGCAATGTAAAACTTTTGCTAATTTAAAAGTTGTATATCATATGGTGGATGTGCTAAAGATGGAATTTAGTCATTCTTTTAGTTAGAAAAGTTATCTGACATTGATCACTTTTTTAATGTTATACTTAAATCTGATTTCTTAGGGCTTATTGGAAAAAGGGCTAACACTACCTGCACTGCTACTCTAATGGTAGCAGCAGCTAAGCTAGCAAAACAGTATTCACCTTTCACCAACCTGCATCAGCTGCAATAGTAAGTGAACAGAGAAGTCAAAATAGCAAGCTAAATTTGGCCTTTACCAGACTCCGAATTATGTCAGTTGAATCGGATTTAGCGGTTCAATACGAGTTCGACTATTTGTTCCTTTTTTTCCATATAGCCTAGAGTGTGAGAGTTTGCACGGGTTTGGCAGGACGTTCAGGGTGACAGCGACGTCCATGTGTAATAGTAAAAAAGCCGAGTTAGCCGTCCAAGCTAATGTATGCTAACTCGCTAACAACAGATCATAAATGTACACCAACATTTTTTGCTGTCACTTAAATATCAAACACAAGCCAGAGACTGTATCATATTAAGTTTCTGTGAGCTGTAAATTCACCACTCCTAAGCAGAAGGCAGAAGATAACGTTATCTCGGAGCCTGACTGGGCAAAGCCTCTCTTCCTCCAGGCAGCTGCCTACTTCTCTAGACTTTCCCTGGGTCTGGGTCTGCAGCTGCCTCTACAGGAGAGCAACATGAAAGCGACGAGTGCTCACTCTGCAGCTAAATCTGGAGGAATACACTGCACACAGACTGACCAAAAAACAAACAAACAAAAAAACTTAAAGCATCCCAGTTGACTGGGGGGTCTCTGATGATTCGAATCTCTGACTTTCAGGGGAAAGCACTAGTAAACATTTTGAATATCTGGAAGTAATAGAAACAGTGGAATAGTTACCTCAATGTAAATGATAAACAGGTGAAATAGTTAGCTAAAAGCAATAGATAAATATCTGAGCTTATCTGATATGAGTGTGGAGGTACATCAAACAGAAAAGCTTGGGAACCACTGCTTTAAGAGACACAGCACAACTCTGTCCGTGAATTGTTTCACATACTTTTCAGTGAATTAAATGTCAGCTGTAGAAGTGATTACACTGCTACCTGCTACAGGGTGTTTGCAAGGGTCTCTTTTTCAGTCAGTGGCAAGCAAGCAGTCATCAACCGGGAGTTTTGACAACTGGGAAAGGTGAGGGGGCGGTAGAAGGGGTGAAGTTTTGGCTGTGTGTTTTGCTTCCCCTCCCCCCACTTGAAACGAGCAGTCAGCCCCCTGAATAATCACACTGTTTTGGAATATGGGACCCTGGCCAAAAGCAGATTTGTAGTGGCCCAATCGGCGAGGAGGTTACTATGAAAACAAGGAATTTTTGGCCCCAAACAGGAAAGCAAGAGTGAACGGAGTTTTACTCAATTTTTGTTCACATGGGCCATTCAAATCAAAGCTATAAATAAATTAAAGGAAAAATGTCTCAGTGTTAGATCTTGAAGAAGTCGTGAAAAAGCTCTGCATGCTATTACCACGTGTATGGGTTTCCTGAGAATCTTATTCCCACTGTGTTGTTTGTTCTCTGACATGTTTGTAGTGAACATTTACAGAGGAAAAGCAGAGAATGTGATTTAAAGGACCTTCACTCATTCAATTGTTGTGTTTTCATCTAAACAAATAGCTTACATAAGAGCAACATTCTTCTGCTTTCTAATAATATCCCCGTATTATCTCTAAATCTTCTTTCCAGCCATCAGGGCCCCTGATGAAGTGTCCTCTGTTGTGGCATTAGGAGAGGCTTTAGTTGAATTATATATAACCCAGTTGTATATTGCATTGCTGAAAGTCTATGGAGAGAAACATTTGAAGGTTATTAAATGTAACAGTGTGTTTTTTTGGAGGAGACAGCCTCGTGATATGTGTTGGATACAGTGGAAACAGAAGTTTCTTTGTCAGTGTTCGAGGAGGACCAGGGCTGGGCCGGGCTGGGCTGGGCCACACTCTTCTGCTGAGCTCTACTTCTCTGTCTCCAGGGAGTTTTTCTATAAAAACACACACACAAATAGCCTCATGCACACACATCCTCACACTACAAGAGAAGCTCGAGGCCTTGCCTTCAACTTTCCTCAATGCCATCACCCCCTCTGTTACATTAACGAAAGGCTTCGTGATTGGAAGGTCATATTGTGCTGTATCTGATTGATTAAGGAGCTGGCTGACTACCCATTACAGTCAGCAGTGAGGGGGTTTGTCACTTGTCAAAATGCATACGTCAGTTGTCATATCATGCCATGTTGTACAGTGCGTGCTTGGAGTGAGAGGTGGAAATTAGCAGGGAAGTGGAGCAAAGAAAGATAATTTTTCCATGCCAGGTCGTAGGAAAGAAGTGTTGCATTGATCACATGTGTTGCTCATGAACAGTCCAAAGTCAAAGGAGAGATTATGTAATATCTCCTGGCATGCTCTCATGTGATTTGCTTTTTAGAAGGCCTGAATTATTTCTCTTTTTTTCCCCAACACTTTATTTAAGTTGTTTTTACAAAAATGTAAAAAAAAAAAAAAAGGTAAAAAAGAAAAAAAAAAACAGTGCAAAATGAAACAAAAATAAACCAAACGAGCCCTTATCCTGTGAGTTAACAGTTCCATATCAAAGATTTCATTCACAGTTTTCAGCCTTTCATCTTGTGTCGGTGGTTCTGCTTTGTATCATCTCTTCGTGATGGCCTATTTACAGGCTGCCTGCAAGATTAGCAATAGATACCTGTCTTCTCTTAACATAATTCCTCCTGTCATGTTGCCAAAATACCATACCCTACATGATCTAGGTATATCATAGCCCAAACTTTTGATAATAATCATAAGAACATTTATGCAAAAAGTATGATCCAACTTTATTGCCCGATTTCTTCTTCTTTCTCTAGGCCTGAACTATTTTTCACTCAGCCCACAGGAGAGAAAACTCCTTGCTTTCATGTGTTTGGGCTTTTATCTTAATTTCTTTTTTTCCTCTGCACATACTTTGTAAATCTTGTTGGCTTGGATGAGTGGATGGATTAATATTAAGTAGACTCTTGTGTCTTGGATAGGAATGTTTTGATTTGTCTTTATTAAAAGAGTTCTCAGTCTCTGAGCCAAGCCAAATAAGCAAATCAGGATATATTTCCCCTTTCAATGATACAGCCCGATAACCAGCTTCCTGACTTTTGTGAAGTGATTTTTTCCCCCTCCGTCTCCATTGTTTTTGTCTGGCTTAATCTGGATCATATACTTCACAAGTCCCCTTTATCTTGATAGGAGTGACTCACTGTGACTTTTCTGACTTTGTCATATGCTGTGTTGTGTTCCAGGAGTCTGTGTTAAGTGCAACAAGGCGGTGTATGGAGCCAGCCAGGCCTGCCAAGCTATGGGTAGTCTCTACCACGACAGCTGCTTCACCTGCAGCGCCTGCAGTAAGTACAAACACACACACGGCATACCTTCACTAAAGCCGTTTTCTCATATGAACTCCGAGCAATGTCCGGAGTTTCCCTTTCGCACATGAAGCATGCGACAGGAGATTGTCTCTGTTAGGACAAGGACAGGAGGCAGGATGTGACACGGATTACACCGTGGTCATGTACCCGGTTTGTAACTTGGTCATACACATCAGTCTTTAATTTAATTTGTTTGACTATTTCGTCTTTGGCTCTGACTGACAGACGTTCAACATTTGCGTTGCTGTCTCTGTGTAAGTGACCCTTGTTATGTATCCTTTGGTTGTTTGTTTTTTTCCAGTATTGCGCAAGCATAGAAACGTCACCAACACGCCCACTAGAACGATGTGAAGTCTCCACACCATTACCTGTCCTATTCACACACATGCTCAATTGGTCATTACATGGACTCTGTACTAGGGTGCTGTCAGGATAAAGTCCGGACATTTGCGTTCTCACATTCAGCTCCTCCAGCTAATGTCAGGTTCGCAGCTCTTATGTGAAAGGGGCTTGAGTCTTTTGTTCCCACCTGAACCCTTTCACCTTCTCTGCTCTGTCGATCTACGTGTAAAGCTCATGTCACCTCCTGACTAATAGGCTGCCAAAGACCATGTTCTCTGGAATTAAAAGTGGTACCTTCTTCCTCAGTCATTCACTGCCCCGAGCAAAAACACACAATCATTTGGGGATTACTGTCCTGTGCTGCCGGTGTTTGGTTTCTGGGTGTGCCAGTCACTCCCCCAGCCCACACAAAGACACATGGAGCAAGACTTTTTGTCAACCTCATTCATTCATCAGTTAGCAAATTAACTTTTAGTATAGTTTAATAGTGTGTATCCGAGTCTTGTGTAGAGCTCAAGACTTAAAAATCATTGACGTATAAAAACCACAAATCATGTGTGAGAAAGGCGGGGATTATATCTGCATCAGCGTGCATTTTGTGGCACTTGTAATGATGCAATAATGACTTGTAGCACTTTGTACTGGTTAGCAGGGCTTATTTGTTTGGAAATACTTTGGCAACAACTTGAAAGAGAATATATGCTTTTTGTTTGTGTTCTTTTGGTTTTAATTACCAGAGGCAGATACAGTTTTAACTTTTAAGACAGAATGAGGTTAAAGAAACTGCGTGTGTTGGAACAGCTAAATATCACATTATATAGGACAAATTGCATCGTTTCCACTGCTAGAAAATGATCTGATTTCTTGTGCCAGTGTCACCCGTGTATTCATCGGACCAGTCATTTAACGTTGCACTGGCCTGGTTTTTATTTTCATTTTACCAGATTAGACAGTTTACCTGACCAATTAGGTGCAGCTAGGTGTCAGCTGAGGTTCATTACCCCGGCTGCACTGTCCGATGTATGTGTGACTTGTAGCTTCCTCGCTGGACAGCCGTGCTCTTCCCTCGCTGAGGCATGACCTGGCTCTCTCCTCCAACCAATTAAAATCTCTGTCCCAATTATCAGATGGTAGGTATGTGGAGTATGTGCGGCACTTAGGTGACCTCTACTCAGGCCCATTATTCCGCAGCACCTTTGACCTTGCTGGTTACGCCCCCAAATGTATGATTAACATCCATGGATTTTCTTTTAGCCTCCGTCATGTGTGTTTATACGTGTGTGTGTGTGTGTGTGTGTGTGTGTGTGAGCATGGAGATGAAAAAGAAGAGACACACTGTGGCTCAGAGTGAAGCTGATGTCTGAAGTGGGGGGAGAGAGGAGTTTACACACCACATACCTCTCATAGCTTGCTCCATGTGAGGGCATGAGGGTTGTGCTCGCTGTGAGTGGCCCCAGGGAAAAGCATCTCAGCTGGGGAGGAATGCAGGCATAGGGGCCCTCAACAGGTCTGGCTCCAGGAGGACACTGGGTGCTGTTATGTCAGCTGGGCACAACGAGATGTGAGTACAGTGCGGGACAGGGAGAACATTCAGTGGGAGCACACCACCCACCACACACAGCCAGCACACACAGGGGCGTGCTGATACATGCATATGTATTCATACATGTGCCCACACAGTAAACAGCACAATGCTGTTGAATATACAGTGACTGTACATTCAGTATCCCATGTCATCTTCCTCCGCAGTCTTGTATGTTAAGGCAACTTTTACGCTTGTCAAGTTGCATAAGAAGTCTTTACGACCGTGAACTTCCTCCCATGCCCTCACTCCACCAGTTCCCCCAAGGTGACTGAGAGGCAGGAGAACATTCCTGATGGCTAGGAGAGCTCAGGCTGCGTGTCTGGGATTCAGCTCTTCGCTGCTGGGGGGGACAGTGATGGCTTCCCTCCTGGCTAATCATTAACTCTATACAAACAGTTAACGGTACAACCCAGTTGGAGTTAAAGCCCATGTTTGTAATCAGGGGAACTGGTTTACACATTAGCCAACTCAAATAAACTGTGGAAATAACAGAAGAGGGAAATAGCAGGAAAAAGAAAGCATCGGCCTCTCCTCATAAGAGACGCTTTTCCTAGTATATTTGAAATAAGATGCAGGTAGAAATTACTTTACAACTATATATACCTCACTAATGACCACATTAATACTTTTCATCCAGCTTTGTATCATAACAATGTGGAGTATGTGAAAATTAACTGACATAATCTTCCGTTCATTTTACCAGCACCCAGATCTCCTTGCCTATCTCTCAGCTCCAACGATTTTCGCTGGCTCTAGGGTTGTTGCTTGAACTACAGATCGTACTTCCACATTTTGTTATCCCGCCATCACAGATGCAGAGAATATGGAAGTAGATCGAGAGAGACCCTCCTAGTTTTACCCAGGCAGTGCTGATAAAATATAAACCAAGGTATTTCTCACCTAAAATGTCTTAAGAAACATATTTTAGTGCACTGTTTGGCTGTAATATGAGAATTTGTGAACAAGAAGCACCATAAACACCGTACCGTTTCCTGTGTTGTAAAAACGGATGCTGAAAGAAACTGAGGTCAAAACTAACAGCAAAACTAAGCAGTGCTGATCAAATACGAACCAATATTCTGTTACTGTGTTGCCTTTTCTTGCCAAAAATGTTTTCAGAAGATACTTTAGCTAACCGTTTAACTGTAAATCGAGATTGTGTATTATAGTCCGGCCGCCCTAATTTTTCCTGTGTCAAAACAGCCAAGGTTTATTGGTCCGCTGCTTTCTGGTAGTTGTAGCCACAGTCCTTCCTTCCTCTGTTTTCCCTGGTCATATAGCACTAATTTCAAAAGTATTAGAGTCTTTTTACTGCATAGACAGACAGTTTTATGAAAAGACCATCTTTCCAGCAGTGAAGTTCTTCTATAAGTGTCTTTTTGGGGTAATTCTATCATACTAAAATGGCAGCAGTGCAAGGTGTGACTTGAGGAACAGAGGAACAGATTCTGCTTTCATAACATCAGCCCCTCACTCAAGCCAGTCGACAGGCTTTGGAGAATATAAACAAGGGTCTGACTGGTCCTGAATCCACTGGTATGCTAACATCTGGTGAGTAGTTTGTCGGGACCTTGACCAAACGTTCCAGGTGCTGCTCACAGCCAAAGAAATGCATTCACACTACCAAAAAGACGTCTTGTAAATGCAGGGAAGATTTTCTTTGTCAGTGAAATAGAAAATAGATTTATTTAGCAGGGCAGGAGGAGAGACTGAATGTCAAAGTAAACCATGTACAAATGTGAAAGTGTTGTAAAGAGATGCGTCTCTTTTGCTGAGATGTCTCACTTGAGTAATTTACTCCAGAAAGACCAAGGTTGAGGCCCGATTAGGAAGCCATGGCAGGGTCATGGTGAAATTTTTTTTCTGAATGGGATTACATAAGGGAATTCATAGGATGTTTTAATTAGAAAATGGCCTTTGTTTCGTTCTGTCCCTCAGGTATTTTACATTTTTATGAAAGCGCAGTAGTCACAGTTCTTTCTGGACCTTTTTTTTTTTTTTTCAAATAGTCAGTCCTGACTCCTGACTTTAATTAAGCTCTTATCTTCAGGCAAAGCTCAGAGCCTTCCCTTTCTGACTCACTAGGAAAAAAGACAGGAATGTGACGAGGAGGAATGGTCCATATCGCACTTTCATCCCCTTCATCCTTCCCTTCTTCCATTAGGGACACAGGTCCAAGACTGTCTGTCAGTAATTACACAAGGCCGATGTCGCACCTTGGCCCGATCGAACTGACTCGACTCCTTTTAGGAAGTTATTGTGTTAGCCATGGCCAGACCTCGGTTGCGTGACCATTAAGTTTTCAGTTTAAGTTTATTCACTTTATTAATCCCCCTGAGGGGAAATTCAATGTTTTCACTCTTGCTTATCAATTACACACAGGTCTGAAAGACACACACACATGCACAAACAGGACCTATACATGCACAAAGTGGAGAGATCTCAGAGTGAGGGGGCTGCCCTTTGGTCAGGCGCCCCGAGCGGTTGGGGGGTTCGGTGCCTTAGTCAAGGGCACCTCGGCAGTGCCCAGGAGGTGAACTGGCACAAACCCTCTCCAGCCACCAGTCCACGCTCCATATTTTTGGTCCGGACGGGGACTCGAACAGGCGACCCTCCGGTTCCCAACCCAAGTCCCTATGGACTGAGCTACTCTATTACAGTAAGATCATGTCATTGAAAAAAAAAAGAGGAATCACAAGGTTGTAGTTTGTCTTTTTTTTTTTTTTTTTTGTCTTTGTTCTTGGCTCTATATTTTCTGTCTAATTCAGGCCCATGTTAATCGATTGTCTACAGATTTAAAACAGTTATTAGAGAGAAGAAAGGTCACCCTCTTTTTCTGATTTTTATAAAATAGTCATATTCCTCAATTTGTAGGTTGATTACACTGGTCTATGGGTAGGTTTGATGATAGACACTGTCACAGCGAGTGTAAATTTACTGTGAGATTGTGCATTTTGTGGAAAATCAATTGATAAATGATAAAAAAAAATGTCTCCTTTTAGTGAATACATCAAAGCAGATACTTGACAAATATAAGTGTTTAATCACATGGATGCACAAATCATCATCAGTAATTTGCAGCATGCCCTCAACAGCTTATGCTACCAGAGATATTAAAGGGTAGACTCTAAGGGTAGGCATTGGAACTTTTAAGAAATTTTCAAATTTGAGTACTTACATTTAATTATCATTTAGTATCAATAAAAAAGGGACATGTACAATGTCTAACGTAAATGGTTTAAGATGAACACCCAAGCGAAAATGCAGGTAGGGTTTGGGTTAGCCCTCCTTTCGGCGCGCTTTCCAAACATCATTCCTATACCTGGTTACCATGTGTGCCAATATTCATTGAGAGCAGTCATATCACTGCAACCTGTCTAAAAAATGTAAATGTTTAATATAGAACAGGATCAATTTATGTTTACATTTATTGTATAGAACTTTTATTTTTGAATGCAAAAAAACAAAAGTAATTACTCTATCGGTTGAATGAATACTGACGTCCAAACTGAGTACTCGTGTACTTATGACCATCCTTTTCTAGCTACTATGTGATTAAGGGTACGGCAAAATGGTGGACAGTATGCCATCTAACATTAAACACTGTCACATTGCCTAAACCTACTATTTCCAATATAGGGATGAATTAAAATATTTTTTTCCAGTTCTGACCAGCTGTTGACTTGTCCATGCTGTTAGAAATGGATCTGAAGGAAGATGTGCATTTAAAATGCCTTGTACTGGAGTTATGCCGGTGGCTGCATTTCATCTTGGTCTTAAGAATAAAACGTTCCTTGTGGCTAAATGACTGTGTGAGATTATCTGGATACAAGCAATCAGGTAAACAGAGCATGGGATGGACCATTGGAGATAAAGAAGGCTCCTGTTTACCAAGGTTAACCCCTCCTCTCCCCTGCTACCCCCTCCCTCACCTCCCCACTCAGAAAATTTCAGGAATGTTTTCTCTTCCTGTGGGACCTGGGCAAGAATAGCTGTGTGCAGTAGTTTTGCCGTGTGTGTGTGTGTGTGTGTGTGTGTGTGTGTGTGTGTGTGTGTGTGTGTGTGTGTGTGTGTGTGTGTGTGTTGCCATAAGAAGCTAGCTCCAGACCATAGAACTATTAAAGCAGACAGACAGGAAGCACACCCAGCATGTGGAGAGACACCAGAAAGGAACAAAGAAGAAGAATAGCAGGTCGCTGTAGGTCTTGGCCTGTGGCTGCCATGAAATCCAATAGAGCAGAGTGTTTAATCTGTTGCACCTGTCTAGTAATTGAATTTAATCAGCATTTTCCTCACGTGTGTCTGATCCAGATGTGTTCCTCGTCGTACTGCAACTCGCTCTGTGTCCCAGCAATATTATATTAAGACACCAGCACACCAGAGATCCGTTTGTTTGATTTATCTGCCCGGGATTCAGCAGGATATAATGAATATTGCAAGAGGGTCCATTACCTTCGAATGGGTGTAATTAATCACCACGGTCTTTACGCATTAGAGCTGTAACTATTTTCTGAGACCGGGCTCATGGCTTTGCAAGATTTTCCAGTAAGATATTTCAACATTCTATCATTGATTTACCTTTTCTCATCTGCTTTATCCACTTTTTGTAATTCAATGATAAAAAAAAATGTTTTTTTTTCTTCCAAGGGTCCCAGGTGCGCAACCTGCTTTGTACTCATTGAAACAAATGGACTTTTCTGTGTTTCTTTTTCTACAGGCCGACGGTTGAGAGGGAAGGCGTTCTACTATGTCGGAGGGAAGGTTTTCTGTGAAGAGGACTTTCTGGTGAGCAGTCAATACACAGTCTATATGTAGTATACCTCAACTGAGGTATGTTGTGACCTTTGTTGCATGTGGTTGAGATAACACACCTTTCTCATGCTGTACTGCTCTCACTTTCACCCAGTCATTTACAAATCTCTCTGTATTTATGATTAACAAGATTTATGATCATTTAAGTCCCCATTCATTCAGTGTACATTACACACTTAAATGCAACCTTAAATCAGTCTGTCAGGCTTCAACTCAAGTACAAAATATCAGTTAGAGACTTTGACCTTGTGGCCTCGTTTCTTGCATCTAATGCAGCTGATTCATATCAGTTTCCTCCCTTGGGTGGGACTGGAAGGAGGTCAGTAACTGGAGAAGCTGCTTTGCTATGGTTTATAGAGTGGAGGGCAGTTAGGCCATTCACACCAGTGCAGAATGACTGTAAATGGAAAGCTTAGTATGCATAATCATGGGATGTACACTTAACAGAATTAAAACTCGTCGTTAAAATTTGTAGTAATTTCCAGCATGCATTTTCTAGCCAGTGTGCATAAGCAATAGAGCAATATTCACACCGTCAATAACTCTGTGCGTGTTTACCCCAGGAGCCGTCCCTATAAAACCTCATCTAATTGCCTTTCCACCAAAAGCTCTTAGTTGCTCAATTAAAATCAAAATTTATACTGAATTAAATTTGCTCTGGCTCTTCTCCCTCTGTGTGCTGTTAATTACGTCTGCTCCTCTGCCAGACCTGTTAGTGGGGCCTCTCCTCACTGACATTGCTCATACATATTAACACACAATAAAGTTGAGCTGACTGTTTCAAATACTGTATCAGCTAAATGTCAATCTCAGGAACCACACTATTGACTTTCAAAGGCTTTCTGAAGATTTGTTCAGTATGCCACACACCTGAGTTGCAAACTGTGTTGAATGTTGTGATTTTTTTTTGTTCTCAGACAGGGAAATGGGGGATTTTAAGCGGTTTAAAGAGGGTTTAAGTAAAACTATGCATGCTAAACCATTAAAGCTACTTTGGATTATGCCTGGGAGATACTGTGGAGCAGTTTAGCGCTCAGTCTGAAACAGAGAGTCAGAGATTTCAGTCAGCCATTAAATAACCACATTCCAATGACATCACTGTCGTCTTTTCTCTGCCTGTTGAAGTACTCTGGTTTCCAGCAGTCTGCAGACAAGTGCAACGCATGTGGACATCTGATCATGGACATGGTGAGTGTCTGTTACTTCTCTCCAGTTGTGCGTATTTTTGTGTGTCTGGTCTTTGTGTGTGTTTGTGTGCGTGGGTCTGAGCCAGGTGATCTCAGCAGAAACTTAGAGTGACTTCACCCTAAATGAGCTTTCTGTGGGCACATCTGGATAAAGGCTCAGGAAGAAGCATTGGCTCTGCATGTGCTCCTCTCCCTCACATGCACACACAGGTACACACACAAAAAGTCTCATGGGTAATGACAGAGCACACACACACACACACACACACACACACACACACACATACGACTGATCAAGTGTCCACACATGTTCTCCATCCTACACAGAGAGATGAAGGACGTGTCTCTGTTTTTATTTTGCTGCTTTATTTTTACATCTGCACATTATCTCTCAGCAGAAATCTATTGGACCTGATCACTGACACTGTATGTCATATGTTTTGCATGTTATGGATATGTTTCTGTACATAACATGCAACATGTTGTCTGCTTTTGCCTTAAATTTGCCAAAGAAGTCACAGTATGTTTTTTTAATTCCTCTGTTTTTCTTCTAGCTTCATTTTAAAGGTGTGAATACTTGTTAGTTATTACCATGAGCACCGTGGGTGGGCTTATTCTTAGCTTTGCCCAATTCTTAACTGCTGTTACAACCCACTATACTCACAGGATCATTGAAAATTAATCTAATTAAAAGGCAAAGTTTAAGAACAATGGGCCTCATTCACCAATATCTTCAGAGGTTTTTTCTTAAATTTGTTTTTATATAAAGTCTATGTCGCATTTCCGATGTGTTCTTAAGCGGAAGAATTGTTTGCACCTGTGTTGCTATAATGATGAATCCCATTGTCCCATTGTAAGCTGACTGTGTGCTAGTTGATCCTAATTAACATAGGTAAATACTCTCCAAATCCCCATAAAAGGCATCAGACTTCACGGCCATGTGCACACCAAAAAACTGGAGAAGATGAAGGAGAAGAAAAAGATAAAGAGAATCAAGTTAAGAATGCCAACTGAAAGTCTTACGAGGGTGAAGCACTAAACATAATCCAAAAAAAAACCCCTCAGTAGTTCTTAATTGGAGGTGTTTCTGCAGAAAGCATGGTTCCCATTAACATAACCAATGTTAAGTGTAGTGTTTATTTTATAAGACCATGAAGCATTCTGTAAAATAATTGTAAGTAATAATGCGTAAGTGGGTTTTAAGAAGAAGTTTCTTCCTGAGAACAGTTGGTGAGTGAGGGCCAATGACTATTTTAATTTGTTTGGATGCAGCTAGTGAGGAAATATGAAGTAGCAGAATGAATTAGAGCATCGACGTCCTGATATTCTTCACTCATTTCTCTCCCTATAGATCCTGCAGGCCCTCGGGAAGTCGTACCACCCCGGCTGTTTCCGCTGTGTCATCTGTAATGAGAGCCTTGACGGAGTGCCCTTCACTGTGGACACTGAAAATAAGATCTACTGTCTCAAAGACTACCACAGGTGAGTGGCACTGTACACAGTACTTCAGAGGAACACTAGCACATGATCTGGATTTATCTGTGTTAAATTAGTTTAGCGTGACACTGAAAAAAGTCTAGGTTTCTTATTACAAGTTAAATGACAGCACAGCCCCTAAACGTTTCCTCACTGCCGCAGGATCTGGTTGAGAGGGGTCGACTGTGTCTCTCTCTGCCACGTGTGGCAGACACATGAGAAGTGTAGTCAGGGATGAAAGGAGAGGGAGGGGGAGGAAAGATCACTGTCCACTTAGAGGTGTGAAGAGTGGCGTGCAGCCATAGCACTTCTTGTCCAACAGTAACATGTTTTGTAAGGACAAAAACAGAGTTTCTAACATCTGAGTAAAGAAAATCAAGGCTTTGTCTGTGAGAACATTTGATGTTGTGCTTGTCAGCCATTTGTAGAAACTGCAGTTAAAGTTATCAACAGTAGCATCTGTAGCACCTCACCAGCAGCTCCACATTTGCAGCCTTTCCTCTCCCTGCTGGGACAACATGTACAGCACAGTCAGGCACATGGCTGGTCACTGTCTGGCAGCTCCCACATGTTCTCCACGCTGATTAAATCACTATTATGTATACAGTATGTGTTTGACTTTTAGCCACAGTCATGCCCATCCACACTGAGAGGCCCTTTGTTATTCTCTCAGACATCCAGGTGCCAGCCATGTGTGTGGAAATAATGAATTCATTTTGCTTTTTTGGTTTTCAACTTCTTTTTGGATTTGGGGAATCATGTGTGTGAGGGAAAGCCAGCACATCTGCTAACCTGGCATCAACTGAGCGGAATCTAGTCTGAGTCAGGGGAGAGAGAGGGAGGTTTAAAAGGTCAGCAGGGGGACATCAAATATAAACTGTAACCTTTATGGTCTTTAGATGAAGTGAATTCAAATTCAGGTCATTAGTGAACTGAATTCAGTTCATTTTTTTGAGCGCAGTTTAAACACATCTGTGAAAACATGTTTCTTTGTGCTCTTCCAGGGTCCTGGCGCCCAAATGTGCAGCCTGTAACCAGCCCATCCTCCCCTCAGAGGTAAGATAACGTTCGCCTTTATTTAGGACTAGGTCATCATATATATATATTATCAGATTCTCATTTCAAGGTATTGTGGTTCACTTGTCTAAATCAATAATAATTCAAAACATTTCCAGAATCCATCACAAGTCAAGATCCTTTATTCTAAATGTGCACAATTTGGGTTTTGTTCACTAAAACAGTTTCACCCACTGGGTATGTTTAGATCTGTAGAGACCCTGCCCTCTGCCTGAATTTTCTTATTTTGCTATGTTCAGGACATTCAGGGGAGCAGAGCACAGGTGAGCTTGGGACTTAATGAAAAGGTAGTCACCAGGTGCCAGACAGTAAGCAACATGCATCCAAAAGAAAGCTATGAAAATCGCAGACACAACGCCAAACAAAAGGCAAATATAGTGAGGAAAAACGCCAATCTGTGGTTGCAATTCCTGCATGGTATACCTTTTAAGACAATGCTCTGATAATTGGGACAATACTAGTTCAGTCAGGACCACTTTAGTCAAAGAAAACTTTATTTCCATTTGCAGTATTATATTTGGCGGTAGGGCTCTGTTCTGGGGCCTCTCTGCCTTTACTAGACCTACACAGAAAGCCTCTTCCTCCCGCCTGCGTGGGAAGCCGTAAGACAGGGAGAGCAAACCTCCTGCCCTTCCATGCGCCTACATGGAAAACCTAAGGCAGGGTTAGCAGCAGCAAAGACTCCCTGGGAACAGAACAGAGCAGCATCAAAGACAAACAGAAATGACATTGATAAGTCAGACACAGCATAAAAAGGAGGAGCTGGGGTGGAGGCAGGTTCCAAAGCAGCTTGCAGAGGAAGCAGCGACAGCAGGCAGGCCAATAGGGCGCCCTGAATGACATTCGACAATTGGTTGCATAGAAAGGAATCGTGTGATCTATCAGCTGACTCCCTTCCATCAATCAGCTGCTCTGTCAGGTGATTGGGCTGCTGGAGATCAGCTGATATAGCTGGGATGTGAGCTGAGCTTGACATTGTGCCCTCCTGAGATAACGCTATGCTCAGTTTTTATCTGCATCGCGTACCCACAGTTATATTGTGTGTTTGGTTTGATTATGCTCCTGTCAGTGCGTTCACTGTAGGATGAAGCGCTCTCAAAGCCCCTAAGACGAGTTTAATGCAGAGGGAGTGCAAAATGGATTTCATTATAGTGTGAATGAAAAGCTCTAAACCTTTAGAAGTTGTGCACTTTAACCTGTGGCCCTTCAACCACCAGGAGTTCAGCAGATTCTAATCCTCATCTGCTCATGTTTACTCAGTTATGAACCAAATGCCCAACTTAGCTGTGCAAGTAGCAGACAGTTCAATACAGCCATATTTCCCAGTAGACTGTAGGTCATAACAGTGTGAGACCTAACATATATATGGGCTTTGATTTGATGTGGTGTCATGGAGGAGTGGATGGATGGCAGGGAAAGAAGTCAACTCTCACACAGACAGGACGTGCTGGCAAAAGCAGAGAAATGTCCAAAATTAGAGTTGACTTTGCTGGAATGTCCCCTGCCCTCCCCTTTGAGTAAGCAGTGAGGCCGGTATTTAGAGGAGAGGTAGTGTGTGTGTGTGTGTGTGTGTGTGTGTGTGTGTGTGCGTGCGTGTGCGTGCGTGCGTGCGTGCGTGCGTGCGTGCGTGCGTGCGTGCGTGCTGGGGTAGGGGGCCTAGTCTGTCTTGTGCCTTTATGTAAGCTGTTGTTACGGATGTTCAGCGGAGTTCCCTCTCAGGCTGATATTGTAACCAGAGAAAGATGACTGAAAAAGAAACAGGAGGACAAAGTGCACACACTCACAAACACACACACACACACACACACACACACACACACATAGATTGAGATACAGGATCTTTGTACATGTTTGCAGATGATTTACTATGATCTTTGGCTCCTTGCAGTTATATGTTGTGTCTATATTTATGTCTGACAGTAGGATTTATAAGCCACGTCTTGCTGTTTATTGTTTTTCAATAATGATTTTTAAAAAATCTATAATGGAACTTCACTGACAGTGGATCAACAAAGCGGGTCCGTGCATAAAGAAACAACTGATGAGCACTTTAACTTCAAGGTTGTCATGCGGAGGGGTGGTTTAAAGCACAGACAATCCAGCTCTTGGCTTACATCAGTGCACGCACGCTTTGTATCGATCTTTTGAAGCTTTTGTCAGACTGAACAGAATTAGACAGTGGAGTGTCTTCTGGCAAGATTGGCTTCAGTTGTCTGTCTGAATTTCTTTCCAGGGGTCTGATGAAACCATTCGAGTCGTATCCATGGACAAAGACTATCATGTGGAATGCTATCACTGTGAGGTGGGTTTAACAAAAAAAAAAAAAAAAAAAAAAAAAAAAAAAAAGCATCTCTTTGCATTTGAAAACATGCTTGTTTAGTGGCTCTGAGCCAGAGACCCTCTGAAAGGCTCATTAGGAGAAATCATAATGAGTAGATCCCCGATCTTAATTACAGTCTTGGCGGTAATGACATGCTGCTGAGGAGAGCAGGTATGCAACGCCTCATCATCTCTATCTCATCAGTTTACTCAAGTGCCTCTTCTTTTTTTTTGCCAAAGGCTGATTGACAACTGCTGTTCTCTTACTTCATGAAAATAAAAATCAGTGGGCTGTGAGGAGCAGCTCTGTTTAAGTAGTGTTTAACTCTTGAGTGGCCGGGTCCTCCTGGTGGTTTTTGTTAATCACAGAGGAACATTTTGACTTAAGGATTTTGTCCTTGTAAACAGATGTCTTCCTTGAAACAGTAAGCCTTAAGGCAAATAAATGTATCCTGTATCGACCAGAGCATGATTTTCATTTCTCAGCAAGCACAGATTCAAGATCTGCTAATAATGAGGAGTATAAATCTCTTTGTACATGTAGAAATAAACCCAGTCTGAATGCTGCCTTTGCACACTTTGGAGGTAATTATTGCTGTCCAATCTGTCAGTGCCTGGAAATGAGGTCAATACAGAGCAGAAATCAGACCAGTTTTCCTCTATTCTGTAACCTGTCAGTGCATTTCTCTCACCACTTGTTCCCCCTTTGTGTTGCTCAGGACTGTAAGATGGAGCTGAACGACGAGGAGGGTCACCGCTGCTACCCTCTGAATGGCCACCTTCTCTGCCACTCCTGCCACCTGAAGCACATGGAGCCCTCCCGCTCCTCACCCATCACCGCCACCGCCTCCTACTAACACTACTGCAGGTGGAGGGAGACACCTGGTGGATGTTTGTTGGAACTACCAAAGCGTGATTGAAAGCGGGAGTGGATATGCACAATTCTTGTTGTAGAGGATTGATTAATGCAGAGCATCAGATCATGCTGTGGTTGGATGTGTTTTTTCACAGGAATGTTAATGAAGTTTTAATTATGCCGTAAGAGGTTTTCGCCCAATAATGAAGTATTATAATACACCAAAGCCCTACTTTGAACCCAGTGAAGCATTGCGTTATACCCGCTGCATATTGATTTTGCAGAAGTGTTGCCATATTATTTTTTAAAATGTAAATATCAGTTGCATTGGCTGTGTAAATATGTTAGTCAACACATTTGTAACTACACGTTCACACAGTCCATAAATTATCTGTCTAATGGCTCTGCTGGCTCATTAGCTAAGCTGTTGGAAAATAATGGCTTAATCATAATACAGTTTCTACACGCAGTAATAACAGTTGGTGTGTACTTACAGATGAGAAATATACAAAAAAGTAATAAATTGGTGAGTTTTATTTAAATCATAGCATAACAATGACGCCTTCCTTTTCCAGTTTTTACGCAGCTACAGATTGTTATTTTCTTCTCAAGGTGGTAACAGCACAAACACAGAGGCCTCTATTTGGCTTTTTTCAAATGCAAATTCTTGTATGCACTAAATCATTTCACGTAACTTTAGCATGACCATTCCATAGAAATGATTAACAATTCCATTATCCTCCAGGTTGCTATGCCTTTGTGTGCTTAGGTCATACCATTTCACAGTCATGTAATACATTTTAATGACTTTTCTTTTTTGTTAAGTCTGAGCAAGCTGCTTCAGAGAGCCAGGTTATACTATCACGTCATAAATAAATAGCCATCATTCATCAAACGCAGTCTGTTCCAAGCACTTAGAGATAGGTTGGTGAGTTTTCTATGCACCTATGAAGACTTTGGTATTAGGCCTGTAGAGCTATGTATTTTATTACGTTTGCAAGCGTATATTTAAAAGAAAGATATATATTGTAGGCCTACAGTATATTAGTTGTTTCATTCTGACTTCTGTGCAAAACTCTTTAATACTAATTAGATTTGCAGTGGAAAGTACTGTTTTGATCACCTGCCTTTGCCATCCAAATATTCATGTCTTGAGTTTACTAACTTAATACTTGCTTGTCATTTGAGGTCCTGTTTTCATAGTTAACTGTAGATTGAGATGAAGAGCAAACATTTACATGTATGTGCTGTATGAGTGTTGTAAAGAAAATATTTAATAAAAGCATTGCAGTAGGCCAAAACTTCAGTTTTAATGTGATTCTTCTTTTACTGTTGTAATGGTACTCTTGTATATCTCTTGCTTTCAGTAAAGACAATTGAATATCTACTTCATGGTACTTTTGCAAGCAGACCTGCTTTCAATATTCTCCTCAGACCCAACACACACATTGTTTGGTGTGCATTTTTAATTTCTCCTAGTTATTTGGGATCAATAGGATACAGTAAATATAAAAAACTAAACATTGTCAATGATAATTAAGTCCCTATGTCCTCAAACCAGACGATCAAATCAAATCAAATCAACTTTATTTATATGGCACTTTTCATACAACAGTAACACAAGGTGCCTCACAGAGGTTAAAAACAACAAAGAACCAAAACAGAAAATAAAAAAGAAAAAGGAAAACCCAACCCTCCCACCCCACAGAGATACATATATATACACATACGCGACCACACACACACACACACACACACACACGCACGCTAGCAATCACTAAAGAGACATGGCCAAGCACCGAGACCCGAGGCAAGGAAAAAGCCACCTCTGATAATTAAGTCCCATTGTCCTCAAACGAGTACTTCGTAATTAACAGTGCCTTAGCTTATTACTGTTGCTAAAATTAGTCATATTTGTATACCAATCAAACTACAAACATTGTTTATCATAAATACACAAGTTTCAATTATAAAATGTGATCAGGTTTTGGACCATTTTTGTTTCAGGATCGACTGCAGACTGACTCGGCAGAGATGGCTACCATCTTGTTTTTACATGGATTAGTGCATTGTCCAAATGGTCCTTTGGTATGATCACCAACAGAAACCTTGTTACAACTTCTACTTCTCTAGAAGTTTGATCGTCTTTTTGGCGCTCCATCAGGGCTTCTAGATGGGCCAAAAAAGTGTCAGCGAACGAGGACAACAGGTCTAAGTTAAATAGAATGAAGTTTAAAGTCAAGTAAAGCCAAAATGTGATGTCCTCAAATGAGGCAATGTAAACCTAAGTTTTCCATGCCAATAAAACCCCTTTCAAGTGAACTGAGCTAAACCCCGCCACATTAAAAGGCAGTGTGGCTACGTAAAACAGCAGGCTGTTCAACACACTACTGTTTTCGTTTTTCTACGTTTTGTCTGGGATGAACGCAGCATAGGTTGAGCTACATGTTTCCTAACTTTCTACAGATCAACCACAAGATTAACCAAACTTACTGGTCTTGTACCAAAATGTGTTTCCTCATTGAAAATGGTCTCCCTCCTGCTAATGTGTAGCGTCCCCCTTAGTGGTTAGGATTAGGTTATGGTTAAAGCACTGCGCACGAGGACAAGGTGAGTAAAAAATATTTAGTGCTCTTTGATAAAAACCATAAAGGGTTATTTAAAACACAATAAAAATGGGTTTCGTCCACATGCTCAGGAGTGGCAGAGGAAGGACCAATATAGGCAAGCTCCTTTTTTGGCTAGCTCACCACTGTCTAGGTAGGCTACATTGATCAATGTTGCTATGTTAAAATGACAGTTTAGATAATATAAAATTTAAAATACAATACATAATAAAATGTTAGAAATATAAAATGTAGGATAAATAAACAATTAAAATATTTTGATGGAATATAATTTATCAGAACTATATAAGTGCATCAAATAAAAATGCTAAGACAATGGAAACACTCTAAAATACATGGGTTGGTAATAAAACAAAGTATCAAACTATTAAAATCATGATTCAAAATAACATAAAGACGCAACAAATAAACACATAGGCCTACTAATAAACAAATACTTAAAAGAACCTTAACCGTAGCCCACAGCAAGGATTTAATTTGTAAGGGGGCATTTCTTTGTCTCTCTTTCTGTCTTTCAAAAAGGCGGTGGGAGAAGGAAATTGATTATTTAGCAGGGCGCAAATTATCTCTGTCAAGTGTGTGAAGTTATTTTCGAGTGTTAAACATCTAAATGCAATTCATTAACAAAACCAATTAAAAGACCAAAACAAAGACCACCAACATACACTCAAAAGACACTGTTGGTAAAACGTTTTTATTTATATTTAGGGCCCATGGTTTGGTTTTAAAAGAAACACACATCGTCATGCTCACACTGACACTGATGAAACTTGAAAAAGATTGACGAGCCAGCCAGGAGTCGAACCTAGAATCTTCTGATCCGTAGTCAGACGCGTTATCCATTGCGCCACTGGCCCGCGTGATCATAAGGAGATCATATTACCTTCTTAAAGGGACAGTGTGGAGTTTACTGAATGGCGTAAGTGGTGGTCGGTACGTCTCCAGGTTGGAGAAGCAGGCAGCAGTACTTCGGTGTTTTAAAAGGGTAGACTGATATTGATTTTTTAAAAACAGACTTTTGGTTTATATTTGCTTTATTTGATAGTAGGTATGAGAGAAGGGATGACATGTAAGGCCGAGGCCGGACTCGAATCTCCGCCGAGTGGTAACGACTCGGCCTGAAAAGTAAGCTAACTAACAATTAGACAAATTTCTGACTCTCAGAGGCATATTTCTGCCAAAACATGTTGCCTTATAGTTATAATTCAGAGATGGTTGGCGTCCCCAGAGCTAATGATCTAACAACACACAAAAAAACAACGCCTCACATTAATTAAACGAAATAAATCATTAACCCTCGTTGCCTGCAATGTCCCCATTAGCCAGCAGATGTCGCTGTCGGACTTTGACATCCACCATAGACTTTTACTTATAGTCAATGGTGTCAACAAATAAACCATCAAGTGAAATACTAAGTGAAATATCTAGGATTTTTATTAGCAAACGATTAAATAAATTATAAGTAATAATGAGACATGTATGAGAAGAACCAGCCTGTAAACTTCTAGTTACAAAGAGATCATGGGAGCTTTTTACTAACATGTTTGTCAGTAATTATACACTGACACACAGATTGAATGAATTAAATTAAAAGAACCTCAAAGTAAGCCATCATTGTTGTAGAAATAAAGATGGGCTAAGTTATACAGCCTCCTGCAGAAGGTTTGAACGCAGAACAAGAGAAGACTTGGGTTGACATGCTACCCTACGTAGACCCCAGCATTTCCCAAATGGACTGGGTTAAGTGAGAACAGAGTATGAGAATGCATATAATGCACTCAAGTGCCTTCACCACAATCAATGGCTCCATTGTATCTATGACTGGTTTATGTTTTTCTTTTCAAGCTCTCCAGTGTCAGTTTTGATTTTGGCTCCTTGCTTCTCAGTTTAAACACATACAGCAGGTTATGTTGCGTCTTTTGCGAAGGTTATAAACTATTATACATGAAAACATTCACACACACAAAAACATTACTCTGCAGAACACACACTCACACTCACTTATTAGTGTAGCCAATGAACAGCCAGATGACTTCATCTGTCCTGGGTGGAGGCGTTGGTTTTATGTTCACAGCAGAAACTGTTGTAAATCGCAGGCCAATTTGCAAGCTGTTACTTCGTTAAGATATGATTTCTGTGCATAACATCTGTGTCACTTTAAATTAACATTTGTCACAGAGATTGAAAGCATGCATTGCATTTGTTCTTTTTTATCCAAATCTCCCTCTTTGTGATTGTTACGCAATTAAAAAAGTAACATAAATGAGAAAATGGATTTTAATACAGTTCCTTTCTTCAGTTTATATAACTGGGCGTTAGTGACACATTAAATTTCATCTGTGTAACAAAGCTTTAGAAAGTATTTTGAGAAAAAGTTAACCTTCTGCATGATATTTTAACATTGCCTGTCCTCACTGGTCTGTCCCTCTCAGCTCATTTAGTTACATATTTGATAAGTTGAGCAGCACATGTAGGCAGCCTGCACGTGCTAAGGCATTTCTGTGTTCTTGTTTATTTACGCCTACAACTTGCCTGCACGTTATCAAGGTATTTCAATGACCCGGATCCTTTTTCTTCTTTGTTGTTGTTGTTTTTTTGCTTTTAGCTACTGGACAGATGTTTGTGATGATGAAGATATGTTTTTTTTTTTGTTACTATGAGGTGATAAAGGTGTGTTTGGGTCATGAAATCAATGCAAATGACACCATTTTTTAATTTGCTGAGGCTGTGTGGCTCGCATTGTTTTGGTATATTGAATTTATGTACAGGATGTTGCACATTGCACGCTGAATCTGTTTTTTTTTTTTAGTAGGCTGTATTTTTATTGCTTTAGTGCTTGCTTGTGATCCTGTTTACAGCTGTTGTCAGTAGGTAGACTGAAGGTGTGTAAGATTATATTGAACACAATGAATGGAGAGGTGAGTGGGAAGGAGACACGCTGATGAACTGTGTGTGTGTGTGTGGGGGGGGGGGGGGGGTGGGTGTTTTGCTCTTACACTGCAAGGTCTGTGTTTTACATAACAAAAACGCATGTAGAGTAAAGAAGTGTACAAACTAAAAGTGCATCCACACATCCCACCCCTGTAATTCTCCCCTGGACCATGCGGTGTCTGAATCGAGCGCACCCACATGCCTCTACAACCCCGCCCCTCCGGTTAACTCCCCCAGTGACGACAGCAGAGTCCTCCCAATGCGGGGGCTTTGTGGATGGGCACTGGCTGCACCGTGGAGAAAAACGTGCGTTCATCCCGTGTGGTGTGTGTGTGTGTCAGTGTCGGTGGCAAACAAACCAGCGCTTAGAGAAATCACGGCTGTTTCCACAAGCTTTGCATCAAACAGCAGCAGATAAACAGAGGGATTCATAAAGGGGACGCGGCATGCATGCATGCATGAATGTGTGTGTGCAGGAGGTGTTGGAGGTTATCGAAGAATTAAAAGTGGACTGATGCTGGCTCACTGAGGGCTGGGTTGAAGCTTGTGACTGCCTGCATTGTTGCATGCTTCCTGGGATGGGATAATTTCCCTCCTCACACACCAAAGGAATAACTGACAGACTTCTCTTTCCATTCTCAATGGTGCTTGAAGGGTAAGCAAAAACCGAGGTGTCAGTGCTTTGTTTATTCTCTGAAATCATCACCGCGTGGATGTTCGCATGCCTTTGTATTTCAACCCATTCGTTCCTCTTTCTGTGTTTGTCAGCTACACAGCTGCTCTGTGCTGCACAGCATTTTACAAACATGCAAGACTAGTGATTTTTTGTGTGGATATCTGGCACCCTGGGTCTGTGCCTCTTGTGTTTAGCAGAGAGATGGACGGCATCGGGAACACCATGCAGAAGAAGGCTGCAGAGCTGGAGCGGCTGGCCGAGGTGCTCGTCACCGGAGAACAGCTGAGGTAGGTCTGTCAGTCCCGGTCAGGAGTCCTGCTGACCCTGGGTGTGCTTGCAGGTCACACATTGAGGGAAGCTGTCATTTTTATCTTCAACATCTGCAAACTGACCACCACATTTGCAGCTATGACTTAGTAAATCCAGTAAAAAATTAAGTAATCATTTAGTTAGTTTTCATGCCCAATCATGCATGTTGTTTGTGGCCCAGATCAGTATAAACAAGGACATGACACACTAAATAAGGTTGCTGTTCTAAGCATGTTTGACAGCAAGGTGATCATGCATGTAGGTCTCCCTCATTGCAAACTGCGACTACAGGCATTTTCAGCCTCACTGCAGCATGCACAGCCAAACAAAGGCATCCACACATGCTCTACCCTCCCCATGCACACCGCTGCTCCTCACCTTTATACTATAACACATTTCAGCCTGAGGCATTGTAATCTGTACATTCTGCAGGATGCAGGACACTGAATGACATGAGTCATTATTGTTGCTCCAGTAATACACTGCCCTTTGAGCTGCACAGGGAGTGATCAACCTACTAATCATTATCATGCCCTGCTCATTCATCCTATCAGGGAATTGTACCGGTAACCCTGGCAGCGGTTTTGGCACGCTGCACCCTTTGACCTATCGTATGTAAAGAAAGGCCCCCAAACCCCCGGTAGCGTTGGTTAGCACACGCTCCCAGCAATGAATAGAGGCTCAGTAGGTAAAGCATGGCACCAATGCCAGGAATTTCAGCCCCCCACTGAACTATGAGGAGAATACGCCACTGAATTGTGTTTTCTAGCGGAGTGGGATAGACTGAGTTGGAGCATCTGCTGTTTCTGAAGAAGTACACGCTGTAATTGTTGTGTTCTGAAGAACCATAAAAAGCAACATTAGTCATCATCACATCAAGAGATATGTGTCTGGACATACTCTTAAGTGTTGTCTTGCTTAATATCAGTGTATGTTTTCCCTGTTTGTCACTGTATACTGAGTGTGTGTGTGTGTGTGTGTGTGCGCGCAAGTGTCCCTGGCACAGCTGTATACTGAGGCTGCCAGCTGGCAATGTGACTGGTGTCAGTGAACGATGGGTTGGTCAGGGTGACTGTCCCGGAGCTCCTTGCCTCTGAGACGTTGCTGTTCTGGGGTAAAGGGCTCGGAGTTGTGACATTCAAGGCTCGTGCCCTGTCTCTAAGTCTCTTTCTTTCTGAATATTGGACATACATAGCAGGCTGAGAGCTTTTTAGGATGGCAGTGTCATGCCCCATTTGGTCCAAACTAACATATCTTAACAATTATTAAGACATTTTGTTAAGACATTCGTGGTCCCCAGAGGATAAATGCTATTGACTTTGGTGATCAACTTTTCAGGTTGAGGTTGACATTTTTGGTTTTGAGTGAAATGTGTCGATAAGTATTGGATGGATTGAAATGAAATTTGGTAGAAAATTAATGTCCTCCTCCTGATCAATTATAATAACTCTAATGAGTCTTGAATATTCCTAGCACCATCATCAAGTCAAAAGATTTATTAGTCCAATGCTTTGATTTATGACAAAATACCTGCTAAACAATGATACTACCATCAGCTTCAGTTGTACTTAGTGTTTACTAATTAAAAATTTTAACAATGTAACATGGTGAACATACCTGCTTAGGTCAGCAGTTTGCAGTATTAACACACTCGACCGTTTAATGATTGATGCTCTCCCTCAGTGTTTTACCTCGACCTTCCTTTACCTTGAATTCATGAGACTAAAATTAGACCTGATATGAAACACAGCTGGTACAAAAGCAAGGAGTGTACCTAAACCAATCCTTTTGTTTGACCACCTTTATCTCAAGCTCACGGAGCATGGAGGGACTTAGTTCCTGGTACTGATAACAGCACACTGGCTCTTTCCGAATATCTTATCACATGTTTGTGGCCCATCATGTCGACTGACGTATCTTAGAGCAGATCTGTTTCAGGCACAGGGCCGAAAAGCAGACGGAAAGATGGATACCGTGACACACAGACACATGCAGCTGCTGTAGTAAGGCTTGTGACTAGTTCATAGTTGTGAATAGAAGGTTTGTTGCAGCATGGCAGACTGTGACAAAGAGGGAGGCTTCGTGAATGTTTGCAGCCTGGGACTCAGAGTCATTATAGTCATGCTGGAGGCTAGAGACTCATTCAGAAGTGCTCTCGCTTGTCATTGTTTCAGCCATCACAACTTTAAGATATGCTAGTGCAGAGAGAAATCAACCAGGCTGTTCTCATACACCGTTTGTATGTATACCCACGAAAAGTAATGAACCACAATACAATATAACCCACATAATCTTGAAGGCTGTGATCAAGTGACGGATATGCTGACGAGAGTACAGAGGGAAGTAGTAAAAAGAGCGGAAGTCCACCAAAGGAAATTTGGTGGATGGGTCAAGAAACACAGGACTTTACCCCAAGACAGCAGTGTTTGTGTCCCGTGTGAAACCCAGTGAACTATTTTAAGGCACATCACCACATTGTCATGTTGTTAAGTACATTACTTTACGTTAAGTTCATAAAGTGACAACGCTAAACGTGATCTTTTTCCTAAACCTAACCTATGTAACTTTACTTTCCTAACCCTGACCTACCTAACTTTACTTTACTAAACCTAACCTATGTAATTTTACTTTCCTAAACCTAACCTATGTAACTTTACTTTCCTAAACCTAACCTATGTATCTTTACTTTCCTAAACCTAACCTATGTAACTTTACTTTCCTAAACCTAACCTATGTATCTTTACTTTCCTAAACCTAACCTTTGATCTTTACTTTCCTAAACCTAACCTATGTAACTTTACTTTCCCAAACCTAACCTACGTAACTTTACTTTCCTAAACCTAACCTACGTAACTTTACTTCCCTAAACCTAACCTACATACCTTGCTTGATATCAGACAGTATTGTCAACTGGTTACACTCGGAATCGGTCAACTAAAACTCAGTGAAGTGGGCAGTTTCAAAGGTCTGACCCTAGGCAACTATGTGTCTTAACTTTCCTAAACCTGGCCTACATACGTTTACTTTCCTAAACCTGACCTATATATATTTATGGGGGCCCATAGGGACCTGGGTTGGAAACCGGAGGGTTGCCAGCTCAAGTCCCCATCCAGAAAAAACATGGAGCGTGGAATGGCAGCTGGAGAGGTGCCAATTCGCCTCCTGGGCACTGCTGAGATGCCCTTGAGTAAGGCACCGAACCCCCAGTGCTTGGGGCATCTGTCCAAGGCAGCCCCCTCAGCTGGCATCTCTCCATTTAATGCATGTATAGGTCTGGTTTGTACATGTGTGTGTATTTCGAGCCTGTGTGCATATGACAAATGAGTAAAAAGAAATTGAATTTCCTCGTGGGGATTATTAAAGTCTTCTTCTTTTAAGTTAAGTATGTGACATGATGTGCTAACCATGATTCTTTTCTAATACCTAATCTGGCCAATAGGGGCGGTAACTTGCTGGGTGCTAATTTGTAAGACATCATATGAAATGCTGTTTGTGCATTTTTGTAAGATATTGTTGTGTGAAAACATGTTAAAACAACACAGCAAGAATTCCCACTCAGTCTGGGCGATATGACAGCTCAGCAACAGGTTTTTGCTGATATATTCGTACAGGTGTGTGTGTGTGTGTGTGTGTGTGTGTGTGTGTGTGTGTGTGTGTGTGTGTGTGTGTGTGTTCAAGTTTACCATGTTTCACAAGCTCTTAGCTCTTTGGGTTTATTAAATGAACAAACCAAACTCAAGTCTCACACCTGTTTTCTTCAACAGAAAAATACAACCATATTCAAGTTTTTTTCTTTTCCCAAGCTAAGACTAAATTAATTGCCTAGTTAACTCATTGTAAAACACTTTATTCTAATTGACAGAAGCTCAAAACTTACCAAAACAGTCTTACTTAGTCAAACAACCCACATTTTACACAGCCAATTGCTGATGCCCAATATGTTCGTCCAATCACCCAACTCTAACACCTACTACAACATGTAGTCTGGCACCTGAGCCTCCTTTAAGGAAGCAGCAAGACTGGTGATTTGTCTTGTGGTTCCAAGTGAGAAGATTTATGGGTAGATCAGAAGCTGAACAGAGGAGAGGATGATGCTCCACTGGGTTGGCAGTGAAATCTGTAACTTGTTAGCTGAGGTTGTTTGCCCAGAACAGTGTGTATGGGTTTTATTGGGCAGGCTTGGACCAGGGCTGTCACTGCTAATCCGGAGTGATGCTAGCCAGCTGCACACAGACTCAGCACGGAGTGGAACTGGCTAGCTGCAGGAAGCTTGGCTAACGCTGTGGTGGGCTGTTCCACAATAATCAGGGTCAGGAGGAGGTCACATTGATGATGTGAAACCAGCATTTAGGTCATCTATAGAAGCATGTCATGTCATCATGTAATATAGTCACATTATAAATCCCTGCAGAACACCATGCATTCCCCTTGAGGCCAGAGGACTGATTTGCTCTAATTTTATAATCATAGATTTGACCTTGTATGAATCTTCTGTTTGTTCTTTAAATAAATCATGTTTTCTATCACTAAAATATATTTTTATTTAATAGATGTATTTATAATATACAGCTCATATAGATAACTAAAGCACTGTCACATTAAACATTTGTCATTACTCTCTCTGTCACAGTCTTTTGCTAATAAACCAGAAGTTTAGCGTCATACTACTTTTTTTTTTTTCTCCTCTGCGGCTTGTTTGCTGCCCTCTAGGCTGCGGCTCCACGAGGGTAAGGTGATCAAGGATCGGCGGCACCATCTGCGAACTTACCCAAACTGCTTTGTGGCCAAGGAGCTCATCGATTGGCTGATCGAACACAAGGAGGCCTCGGACCGAGACACAGCCATTAAGATCATGCAGAAACTATTGGACCAGAGCATCATTCACCACGGTACGGCTGAGCTGTGTGTGTGTGCACAGTGTGTGGGGTTGGTCTTGGACTGTATGCACTTTAACTGTGGTTTCCATTCTCCATAATGTTAAGGGTCTCTCCCTGTCTCTCTCTCTCTCTTTCTTTCTTTCTTTCTTTCTTTCTTGACATTTTCTGGGAACAATCCGTGCCTCTTAATAGATGATTCTTTGACTCTCCCAGCCAATTTGGCTCCAACGTAGCGTCTCACTACCTGTTTCACATTTAACCAGTCACTGAAAACAGAGACAGAGAGAGCAGACTGCCTCTTTTTCATCAGTTGAAGTTTAACAGAGCCAATTCAGCATTAACTCATCCCAGCTGCAGATTAATGATTTAATGATGTTTAGATTTTTCGGACTGCTTTATACAAACATAATCAGACTTCCCATGATCCCATTATGTGACACTTGTACTGTTTTCTACCATCATTACTTAAACCCACATTTACTGGTTGTGTCCTTAAAACTAAACCCTCCATGCATGTGTATGTTTTCAGTGTGTGACGAGCACCGGGAGTTCAAAGACCTGAAGCTGTTTTACCGCTTCCGCAAAGACGACGGCACGTTTCCATTGGACAGTGAAGCCAAAGTCTTCATGAGGGGGCAGAGGATCTATGAGAAGTAGGAACACACACAAACACGCCATGAAACGCGAACACAACCACACTGTTGTGTTCTTGGTAGTGGAGCTACAAGTGGGAGTAAGGGAAATGGCCTTTTGAGCATCTCTTATCATTTTCATTGATTTTCTCTTTCACTTTTATAGCTTTTAGCTTTATAAGAATATTTTATATCAGTTTTCTTATCGAGAATTAGACGTGAGGATGGACACCATTCATATCTTTGTGCTAAATTTAAATTTGCAGCAGCAGCTGGTTAGCTTAGCTTAGCATTGAGATTGGAAACAGGGTTATGTGTAGGCCTGTCACGATAATATTGTTATTGACTTACCATATAACGTATGGACATGACCTTGATCATTTTGCTGACCTCGATATTACCGGTTGTGTTTTCATAAGTGTTTGTTTACAAAACAGTGTCACCAACATTTTAGCCAACGTGATGCCAGAATAAACAGCAGGGTTTTCCAGACCTTCATAAGACTTGGGCGCAGCAATTCTCCCCTTTGTTCTCTCCATCCTCGCCTACTTGTGCGAGTCGAGAAAAAATATGAAGGTGGCATGGTGGTGTAGTGGTTAGCGTTGTTGCCTCACAGCAAGAGGGTTCCTGGTTTGAACCTGGGGTGGGGGGGTTCAAACCTCGGGGTGCGGAGTTTGCATCTGCTCCCCATGTCAGTGTGGGTTTTCTCCGGGTACTCCAGCTTCCTCCCACCATCCAAAGACATGCAGGTTAGATGTGTGTGTAGATATGTGTCACCCCTGCGATAGTCTGGTGACATACTCAGGGTGTACTCAGCCTCTTGCCCAGTGTCAGCTGGGATAGGCTCCAGCAACTCCGGACAGGATAAGTGGTTACAGAAAATGAATGTATGAAACTTCAAGACGACACAGTGCAGCTTACAGGTAGCATTCAGCTGCACGTTTGAAGTAAAAGACGCATGGTTACGATAGTGGTTAGCTTGCCAACCCCTGACAACAAGCCAAAAAGTCCTATGTTTGTAGCTTTATTCTCAAACTACTAAATCTTCCACTCCGTAAATCTGTCTGGCACACCACTTGGCTCTCAGGCCGTCCGACTCCGGCAGCACACCGCCCAGATTTTGGACGTAACTGCAGTGTTCCCAGGGCTTTGCTAAGGCGGATTTTGCTTCCAGAGCCAAGATAGCTACTGCTACTAGATATTTAACTGTGATGCACCGATATAAATACTTGTTTTTAAGATATTAGGTTTACTTCCTGAAAGATTGTTCTGGTGAAGCTTGTTGAAATGATGAACAGTGAACTATCACTTCATAGTCTGATGCTATTGAATCACTTAAGACCTCAAACCCACTTGGCATGCACATATTTCCTGCCTTCCTCTTTGTTTCTTTTTGTGAGAGTCGCTGGCATTCCCCACGGCATGCTTACTGAGTGCATCAGAAATGCTGCCACCATTAACGTTTAGAAAGTTTGTTTTGCTGGTAAAATTGGGTTCCATTAGATTAGAGGGCACAGTATTGAGCGTAACTGGTTTTTAACCACGGTAAAAGCCTGCAGGGATCGGAAAATCAGAGGATATTGGAAGCAACTTGACTAAATGATGACTCATTGCGTTTGTCCAGAGACAGGCAGGATTTAGAGGAGGGCAGAGGACACTGCTAATGGGACTGTTTATGTTTGTCATCAGCTCTGTACCTTTGATGCTGTTGTTCCAATAGTGATGAGACTAATTGTTTCTATAGTAACCCCAAAGTCTTTCTCTGTGTGTCTCCGCTCCACTCAGTGGCATCTCTACAGCTTTGGATTCACATACACACATACACACACACACACACACACACTGCGTTTGCGAATAAGTGCAGACACACACACGATACTACACACACACACACACACACACACACAGCTTGACTCCCCTTCCTTGCCCCACGCATCCTGCCACCTCTTTGTGACATGAGTAAACAATATTTCTGTGCCTCTCTTGACACATACACACTTCCACTCTTGTAAACAGAGACCTATTTTTCATGTTTGTTTCTGAGAAAACACACACACGCACGCACACACACATACGCACACACACAGCAGTTGCATAAGAGGAAGAAATAGTCCAAGGGGAGACATCTGTCGTCTCAGCTCTCAAAGCTATGTGTTTATGTAATCACCATGGTGCAGCCCAGGACACACACACACACACACCTACACACACACACACACTTACACACACACACACACACACACACACCCACGCACACACCGCTCGAGCTTGGTCTGGTGGTTGCTTGCTTGCAAACTAGAGTTGCTTCATCACTACACTTATAGCACAAGTAGCAACATAAAAGAAACCAGCCGTGTGCCTGAGTGGAAATATATGCTTCGGTCAGAGGTTTGCGAAGATTCATCTACATTTAAGTATTTCTAAAACAAATTCGATGTTTCTCTGGGTTTCTGGATACCCCAGGGCCAATAACCACAAACAATAAGCCATGGCAGAAAATTATAAGCTGTACATCACAATGTAAGCCATTGTTTTATACATAAATTTGGCGTCATCACATGCCAGCCTCAGCATTTTCATACAGCAGATCATAACAATAAACTGCTTTGCTCCTCTAGTTTCTTTATTTATTTAGTTTTATTGATTATATAAATACAAATTTTCTTGACTCATCCTTGAAATTCACCAAAGGCGGTGATTTTTCTGGCTTGAATTTACGTTGGTGCAAACCTAAAGGCTCTTTTTAGCCAGGGGAGTTTCCTGAGGGATGGCAATGTAGGTCAGTGATCCAATTTGGTCCAGACTGAAATATCTCAACAATTGTAAGATGGATTACCATGAAATTTGGTGCACACCCTCATGTCTCCCTCAGGATGATGAACTGATAGTAAGTGATCCCCTGATTTTTTCTCCAATACCATCATCAGGTCCAAATTTGTATTTGTTCAGCCTCTTTGTGACTAAGTACTTGCAAAAGAATTGACGTACTGTGTAGTGCTAATTGGCAAATGTTGCCATGCTAACAGGCTAAACTAAAATGATGAACATGGTAAACATACGGTGTGTTACATCAAGTACCCCTCCCTGCAGCCAGATTCACATCTAGTGTTTCCATTGGAAAAATAAACAGCCCTATCCACACTCACATTGATCTCTGGTGCTGTCAATTGTCAAATTAGCGCACACACACACACACACACACACACACACACAAACACACCGCGGTAAACAAACCACAGGAAAAACATTTCAAACACTTGTTTTGATAGCATTTCCCAGGCGACAGGGTGAGTCAGGGACGACAGTGTTTGACAGGCCCTTTTATGAATTGTTCAACATTTTGACTGTTTGTGTGTGTGTGTTTGTGTACTGTAGATTGTGGTTGAATGTCTTTATTATTTATCTTTTAGTCATACTCATATTGAACTATTAAATGGAAAAAATGACCTTTTGAGTAAATGAATCAAAACACTTGAATCTATTCTGTATTTATCAGGGGTAGATTCACTGAGCATGAGCGGCCTGCTTCACACTAACACATTCACACCTGCAGTAGATGGTCCAGTAGTACCAGAGGTGTGGTTTATGTGCATTGCTGGAGGGTACTGCAGTATGAGCAATAGGAAGTTTTGAGCTTGGCTGTTTCACTTTCTTTCATACCCAGATTTATCATGTGAGTGTAGCTATCAAACCACCAACCTTGATGAAAAGTCCACGTTTTTAGTCCATTTCTGTTGAATTTGAAATTGAATGTGATTTGAGATTTGAGCTTTATTCTCAATACTTTGAGAACGAAAGAAATACAGTCTTTGCAGGTACTTATCTCTTGTGATGTGCACACATCTTTATTCTGTGTCTGAGCATCAGCTTTTGCTGCATCAGTGCGAACCTTGGTGTGTGTGAGACAGTGAAAAAGACTTGACTACTGTCTCCTTCACTGTTTCCGTTGCTTATAAGTTCCATGTGTCTGTTCAAGGCTACAAAACAACTCAGTTTAGACTCCACCTAACTGACTGTCTGCCGGGGCACCACAGTCCTTAAAGGACCGTTTTGCATGTTTTAGTCCATTAACTACAAATTGCATACACTTAAACTGTTGGTGACCATTTTCTGCATTCCAGACATCCATCACATGCCCTTTTCTGTGACATGCATATAAGATGCATGCTGCTAAATCAAGACAGAGCAACACAACCTTTCATTTATCAACATGCTGGTGCTGGGTTATCATGTGCACCACAGATATAAAGTAAAAAGATGTCCGTGCAACTGAACGGCGAAGTTAAAACTGATAATAGCTGGCCAACAACATCAGCTGCTGTCTCTGCTTGAGAGTAGATCCTAATGTTTCCACATGACTCACTGATAACCGCTGGAATGTCTTTATTTATTAAATCAAGTCCAACATAGAGAGTTACTAGCAAAGAAAGTTTTACCATAAAAGCATTTGAACATTTCATATTTGAACTGGGCTGGATGATTTTAAAGTTGTGCTAATCTGTACTGAAAGTGCTGATAAGTACAGAAAGTAACGTTATCATTTATTTGTCATTCCATGAGGTCTCTGTGGCCTTAGGAGGCTGTAACAGAGATTAAGAGCTATACAAATAAAACAGCTTTGACATGAGAAAGTTGTAAGTCATTAAAGGTTTACAGCAGATGTTTGATAGCCTGTTTGTGTAACAGAAATACACAGAGTTCAGAGTCATTTAGATGTCAAGTGGCCACGGTGCAGCTGAAATGGGGTCATGAAGTGGGAAAGTGTTGCGTAAATTGCGTATGTAAACTTTCTGAGACATTGGTCATGTAGGAAACAGCAACAACTTTGGTCCTATTTTCTAAATGATGGTTCTCAATGAGGTGAAATATTTTTTTTTGTATTTTTAACATTTACACTAGATACTTTTATAAGATATTGAGACCAAACCCACAAGCAAACCAACCTAAACTAGAAAAAACCCCACATTACTATGATGTAAACGTGTAGCATCTCCTCTCTTATTTAGAAAAGTGTTGCTAAT